AAAGTTGGCTTCTTCAAGTAAAGTCATAAAAAGAACTGACAAATCCACTTGAATACTGGTTTCTACTATCTTTGGAGATTATATACCACTGGACTAAAACAAAACAAACTTCCAGGACTTCGATTTTAATTAGAAAACTGATATGACCATGGATATAGCTAACTCAACCTCATGAGACCTAACTAAATTTTCACAAAAAGACTCTTTATTTAAACACTACTAATTTTGTTTTCCAGAGGCCTGACAAATTTTAAGTAAATAATAGCAAGTTTACCTGATCTCCAGGACCTAGAACCTTGGAATCTGCCAAAGCCCTGTTCAAATACCCTCCCTCTAGGCCCAGGGACTATCTCAGAAGAGGGGGCGTGTGAGATTGTAAGGGCTGATTCGGAGGGATGGAATTAGTTTAGACCCTCCAGATCAAGGAGGGGCACACAGAAGCCTAAAGGAATATTAACTAAAATACTTTGCTTTTCAGACCACATGCTGCAAATATCCACCCCAATCGTCAAATTTTTTTCCTGCATCCTATAAACTTACCACTTTCTGAGTATAATTTTTCTCAGTTATGGATTTATACAAAAGGAAATATAATGAGTAATTTATCAGCCACCTTAGTATAAATTACTAAAGAGACTAAAATATTATGACACAATAAAAGTCTCTAAATTCCCTTAGCTTAAATATTAATGATGCTTATATTTGCTACAAGTCTACCACTAAGCCTAAGAATATAGTAGCTCTACACTTATAGGTAAATTAGTTTTGTAGCCTTGCCTTTGACATCTTGGATTTTACTCTTACGTCACCTAGAAGATTTTAAAATATTGATGAATGCTTGTCTACCTCCAGTACTGTTTGGCCTAAAATATTTAATTGGCTGTAAGCCCCCTTTCGGCTCTTCAGTCCTCTTGGCCACAAGGGTCCCACCGAGGGACCAGATGGACCCAGGGTGGTGTGGCTACCTGCCCTGGGTCCATCTGGTCAAAATGAAAGTTTGGCCATAGATGCTGCCTCTGACATATCTTGGCCAAAAGGGGGGAATTGTGAACCAAAATAAAATTTTAAGGCTCGCCCCTCTCCCTTCTTGGGGAAATCCTTTGTAACCCATTAACAGGCCTAAGGGTATGCAAGACAAACCTGCAGGTCCTCAATTTACACAACAAATATATGTCTGGTGGCTAATCTCTGATAAACAGCTCCTATGTTAAAGCATTCCAAGCCTTTAGACAAAGCTTCATGTCTTTAACCAATTACAAGTCAAAGAATCTTTAAACCCACCTATAACCTGTAAGGCCCCCCCTCTTCGAGATGGCCCATCTTTTCGGGCCAAACCAATGTATGCCTCCCATGTAGTGATTTATAACTTTACCTGCAACCCCTGTCTCCCTGAAATGTATAAAATCAAACTGTAACCCAACCACAGCCAGTCCACTTGCTCAAGGCTTCTTGGGCGTGGCTCTGGGTCATGGTCCTCAAATCTGGCTCAGAGTAAATCTCTTTAAAATTATTTTACAGAATTTGGCTTTTTTTTCTGTTGACACTAGAAAGAACCAGGCAGAATAAGCACTGAATACAGTACCTATATTATTAGCTCTTATCTCTGGTGCTGTGTGCAATGAAAGAACTATTATAATACATTTAAAAGCAGTTTGCAAACTAGATAGCCTTTTGGAAAATTTACTCTCTCTAAATGAAATAATAAGCATCAGCCATCGCCTTTTATGGAAAATTGAGGTTGAATCACATCAGCAATAGGAAGTGGAGGACTTGTCTATCGGCTCTGTTGTTGGTTTATTAACACAGTAGAAGATCTCAGAAAATAGGCTCTTGATATTCCTGCAAATAGAGACATTTTGGTTAAAATAATTATTCTCCAAAAAACGACAGAAAAGCTCCTGTATTGCTAATCCACTTTAAAATCGGCTCTTCTCTCTAACACGAGAGCCTGCAGGGCTGAGTAGCAGCGGCAGCACGGGGAGAGCTGAATCGGGGTTCTCAACACGCCTCCCAAACAGCAGCCCAAACCTCACAACCCAGAACCACGAGATACCCGGTACTGCAGGGCCCTGGGCAAGAGAGGAGAAGCTAAGACGGGGAAGAGCCCAGCAGCGTCAGCGAGCGGAAAGGATGGCTGTGCAGAAAAGGCAGCGAGGGGTTCGGACACGGGTGGGGCGGGTAAGCCGCGCGCTGCCGGGCACCCAGCTGCAAGTTCGGATGCTGCAACCCTCGGAGAGCGGGGCGGGGCGCCCACTCCGTTCAGGTAACACCGGGAAGGGTAAACTCCAGGTACGCAAACGTCTTGCAGTTTCGAGCCGGCGGCTCTCGCGCGCCTTGGGGAGAAGCGCCGAACTACAATCCCCAGGTTCCCCGGGCGCGGCGGCACGTGGTCCCGGCCCCGCGGCCGCGGCGATAAAGAGCGCCCCCGGGGTGGCCGAGCCGAGCTGCGGCACTGCGCGGAGCGGCGGTCCGGTTGAGCGCGGCCCGCGACGCGACGCGCGGGCGTGGACCGACCGACGCTGACAGCCAGGCCACCTGGACATTCAGGCAGAGGGGCGCAGGGGCTTTGCCTCGGGGTGGGTGAGATGGTGACGACCCGGAGGTAACGGGGGAGGTAGATACGCTGGGAAATGGAGCTGCCGGAGGTGCGAATGCGACACCTTCCCGGCCTGGGGCTAGTGTCCGGACAGACGGTGTCAGATGGACCCACTCCCGTGGATTCTGTACCGACCTCATAGCCGCCGAGTCTCCAAAGACCGTTTTCTCAAAATGCTCAGAGTTAACTATTGAGCGGAAGGGAGCTTAACGATTGAATCTAACACACAACCCTTAATTTTAGCAGAAATTGGTTGTAATTCCTGCTTTTTGTTTTGTTTTTGTGTCTCTATTTCTATTTCCTCTTCTCCAAGTACTTCTCTGAAGTCATTCTCCTTGCCCAGAGCTACATTCTCTCCCTCCCTCCCTCTCCCTCTCCTTTTCCTTCCCCCTCCCACCCCCCACTTTTAAACTTTGTCCTTTTAAAAATAATTTGATGTAGACAGCTTTAATTCTTTGCACACATTGTTCTTATCTGTGGATGGAGGTATAAGATTTCAAAAGTAATACCCCTTCCCCAGTGTTTCAGTAATATTCTAAATT